TGTTCCCTAGGCCTGGACCCTGTCCCTACTCCTCGCCGCCCGCCCTGCTCTCCACCCTCGCTCCCCGCACACAGCCCGCCTCCCCCTGGTAATCCTCTCTCCCTCTCCCCTCTTTCGCTCGCTCTCTCTCGCTCTCTCTGCAGCTGCTGGGGGAGCTGAGCCTCTCCTTGCAGAAACGACATTTCCTTTTTGGAGGGCCTCGGGAATTCTGGGTAGTGTAGTTCGGCTTCTGTCTCGGGTCCAGGTGGGCTGCTCCTCGTGCCCTTTGAACTCGGCAGGCTTTCCGGGGTTCAGGGCAGGTGGGGAGGGGTTGCGTTGCCCTGGCGTTCCTGGCCGCGGTGGGGCCTGGCTGGGTCAAACAGTGCAGAGCTCTAGGAGGCTCCAGGCTGGGAAGGTTGGGGGTGTGGGGAGAAGTTTGAGGAAAGGGACCCTGTTGCTCGCTCTGTACTAGGTCTCTCGGCACCCTGACACCTGACCAGACCTGTTGGGCCCTAGCCCTGGTAAGCACTGTAGGAGCTTGTTCATTTCATTCACCATCAGCCACCCCTGGGCAGGAGGCCTGTCTTGTGTATTTCACAGGGCAGGAATCCAAAGCTGGGAGATTCCAAGACATGCCCAAGGCCCCACCCAGGCAGGTGTCCCAGCCGAGACCTGGACCCTGAAGGTCTGTGTGAGAGGTTCAAAAGTGATTTGACCCTGGGCAGGGATGGGGATCACTGTTAACCTCTCCAAGCATCCTCAAACCAGTAGCCCCAGAAAGGCCAAGTAGTTTGTGACATCAGAAAACCTGGTAGCCACATTAGAGCCATGCTCTTCTGCCATGACTTTTGTGAAGGTACCCTCAGCTAGGTGTTGGGCAGGTGGTTCCAGTCACTCCCAAGCCAGAGCATCTTGAGTGCCAGTGAGGACAGCTATTGGAGGAGCAGAGGGTCCCGGCCACTTTCAGGTCTTTTCTTTGAGGGATGATCAGCCAGCCAAACAATCCATCTCATACCAGCACCAGCTCATCCACAGACAAGAAGTGGCCTGTTAAGGTGGCCACTGCCTCTTGCCCAGCTGCTCCCCTGCCCTGGCCCTGCTTCCTGCCATGGGCTCTCAGCCTGAAGAGGGGTCAGCCCTTTCCAGGTCAGCTAGTAGGTAGTTTATTCCTAGACCATCTGACTGAGACCAAGGTGGGGTGGCCCTCATGACTTGATTACTGCCAGAAGATAGAACCCCAGACAGCACGGGTCTCCTAAGGACCCCGTGAATTTCCATTTCTGGAAAGAAGCTTTCCTTGGGCTCTTAACCCACAGTGTCCTCTATCTGCCATGCGCTCATGGCCTCCACAGAACATTCTGCCCCTCTGGGCTGCATGTCGGCTGTCAGGTAATTACTATGCTATTCAGTGTATATGTAGGTAAGATATTCACTTTTGGGGGGGTCCATCTCATCTGCCACACCTTCATCCCCACTGCCTGGAACAGAGCAGAGCCCATGAGCCAGGGTGTCCCCGACGGCAGGGACACTGTCCTGGTGACAAGGATATGAATGCCCCATGAACATATGCTGAGCTGCACATCTTCTGATGTGAAAAGAACAGAGGCCAGAGCCTTAACCTGCATGCTAAATGGCCAAGCCCCCAGAGATGAGTCCCTGGAGTCAAGTCCCCTCAATGCTTCTTGGAAGTGATATTACACCCTGCAGCTCTGGGCTTGGCTGGCCTGGGTTTGCGATAATGATGATAAAGCACCTACTATGTGTCAGTGCTGCTAAGCCAACATTGTCTCCTTCATCCTCCTTGACCCTGGGAGATGGGCTGTACCAACAGAGAGACCCTCGGATCAGGGGACAGTGGCTTTCCAGGGTCTGGATCCCCACTTAGATCTGGACAAGTCCAAACTCACTTATTTCCTCCTCCAGGCACACTGCCCTTGCTAGCTGGGGCCAGCCCCTCCAAGCCTGGATGGAAGTGACACTAGAAAGCCCTGTGTCTGGTAAGTCCCACCCAAAGACTGGGTGCCCACCAGGTGAGGGCTCTTGCAAAATAGAAGACCCCTGTCCTTCAGCCCCAGAGCCACCTCCTCTTCCACATCCTAAAGCAATACTTTGTCTCAGGCCAGTTGGAGGGCCAGTTCTGAAGGGGGAGGGCCCAGGTAGCAACCAAGCACCTGTTTATCAGGCTCTGACCTGAAGACCGGCTACCCCAGAGCCAGCCCCAACAGACAGAGGGTCTGAAAGGGCTTGGCTCATGCCTGCGTCCCCTGTCCCGGCTCTACGCGGGCCCTCCAAGGTTCTGGCTGCTTCCCCAGCTCTCGGCCGCTCCGGCCTTCCTGCCTCCCCGCCTCCCCACGCAGCCCTTCTTCCTGCTCAGCATTTCCTGGCGGCCCGTGGGTGTTGGGCACAGACCCACGGCTGTCTCAGCATATGTGAAGGCCCATCATGCAGCCACACGAGAGTGAAGCGCTGGCGTCTGCAGAACAAAGGAGTGGACATCTGTTGGCGACGTGCCCAACACCACATGGGCACTCACACGGCCCCCCCAGACCCCTCCCCCTCCCTCAGACCTCAGTCTCCCCAGGGTCCCCTGCTGTGATGTCACCAGCAAATGGGAAAGAGAGAGGTCAGGATGCAGGACCCCAGCCCCTCCTTGGAGATGGCGAATTCCCCAGTGTGGCAACTTGGGAGCTCAAAGTGCTGTCAAGTGGGAGGACAAGGTCCTTCAGTTCCTAGCATGTTGGCCCAGAGAGGCCATGAAAACACAGAGTCACACAGCAAACCAGAGGTAGAAAGAACATGATCCTACCCAGCTGGGTCCAGATCTGCAGAAAGAGCCAATGCAGTATCCCCTCCCTGAGCATCGCTGTAGGCAGGGCTTTGGCACGCATCACCATCATGGCACTCCACAGGGATCCAGTCCTGTTACCATCCCATTCCACAGATGAGGACATTGAGGCCTGGTGAAGAGGGAGGTGTGGATTGAACCCAGCTGCCTGGCTCCGAGACCCAGATGCTGGCGGATTCAATGTAGTGGGAGCTCTCACCAGCAATCCCTGCAGGTGTGGGGACCTCATTTTTATGGCCAACAGAGACAGTCTCAAGTCTCCTTCTTCCTCATGGGCCAACATCTCAGGGCCATAGCCATCCTCCAGGAGCTCTCAGCCTCCTAGGGTGCAGTCATCATGAGACCAGACAGGCATTTCACAGGTGGAGAAGAGCCCTTACTCTGCAGATGGAAATGATAAATGCTGGAATTCTGTTGCCCTGGGAGACGAGATTCTCTCCTTAACTGTTTAGGACTAGACTGGAAGCCATGGTGAGGTTTTAAATGTCCACTTGGGAGATGGGCAGGCAGGGTTGGAGGGCCAGGAGGGTGGCCGGAAGGGGAGGGTTGAGAGACGAGGAGGCTGCAGCCCGACCACCTGGCATCACTGATGCACTTCCCCTCTGCAGTGAGCGGACGCCCCCGGGCCGACCTAGCACAGGCCGGACCGCAGAGAGGGCCGGTCCCACAGCCTCCCTTGCAGATGGGGAACACAGGTCATCCAGGGAGGGCTCTGGCACTAGAACGCAGGTCTCCTAGCCCCAGATCCGTGATAGGCTCCCTCTCCACGGAGGGGCAGTGGTGTGGCAAGGGGGATGGCTCAGGGCCCTGCGTAAAACCAGGTGTCTGGGATGGCCACAGGTCTTTCCAGCCAGAGGTTCAGAAGTACATTTCTTCCAGGGAGTGTTAGGTTGGGACTGATCAGCTGGCCTCCCCACACTCACTTGCGTGTATTCCTTCCCCAGTATTGACTGGACGCCTGGGCTGGGTACTCAG